TCAAAAAATTAAAACATTCTTTATCATGAGAAGTATGATTTTCTGTACCTTAGGTGTTATAAAGCATGTCCCCTCAGTTTTAACTTAACCAAAATACTTACCTTAGTAAGTGATGCTATATATACACCAAATATTTATGTATGTATATAAACTTCCAACAAACTGTCTGCTTCTATCACTGACCCTTTAAAAATTGAAATAAGGTGAGTATTATCTGAGTAATATAACCATTTTCAAGATTTGGTCTGCAAATACCTGAAGTTCAAGCTCTGTGGCCCACTTAAAAACTGTTAGAACTGTAAGTACTCCGAAGGCATAGCTAAGAATTGCTTTAGAGTCAGGCGTGGGTTCTGAATTCTTGTTCTGATAGCAACTATAATGTCTGCTTCTGCAAATTGAGGTTTTGAAACTGTTTTCTTATCTTTAAAAAGAGGTAACATTTAACACAGCACCAAATACAAAGTTTTCCTTAATAGTTCTGTAACACGGTCTGGAAAATTCCGTCATCAGAATTTCCTGGGATGTATGCTAAATGCAGATTCTGATGTCCCAACCAGAATATAGTGCTTAAACATCTGAGGATAAGTTCTGGGAATCTGCATTTTTTTCTATAAAATGTATGTATTAGAGTTCCCTAGAGGGACAGTAACTAATAAGATACATACATATATATATAAGATACATACATATATATATATATATACGCACACACGCACACACAAACACACATACATATGTATATGTGTGTGTGTATAAAGGGGAGTTTATTAAGTATTAAAAGATCACAAGGTCCTACAATAGGCTGTCTGCAAGCTTGAGGAGCAAGGAGAACCAGTCTGAGTCTGAAGACAAGAACTTGGAATCCAGTGTTTGAGGGCAGGAAGCATCTAGCATAGTAGAAAGATGTAAGCTGGGAGGCTAGGCCAATCACGCCTTTCCATGTTTTTCTGCCTGCTTTATATTCGCTGGCAGCTGTTTAGATTGTGCCCACCAGATTAAGGGTGGGCCTCTCTTCCCCAGCCCACTGACTGAAATGTTAATCTCCTTTGGCACCACCCTCAAAGACACCCAGGATCAGTGCTTTGCATCCTTCAATCAAGTTGACACTCAGTATCACAATGTATGATTTTTTAAATCTGCATTTTTAATAAGCTACCAGGTAAATTTTCCACCTAATTTAATCCCTAATTTGAAAGCACCAAGGTAAACAACTTTCCAAAGTTAGTATTCTAAATGAAGGCTCCTTCTTTTGTGTTTTTCTACCTAAATTGCTGTTCTTTACGTTGTGCTCCC